TGCTGTCACCACCGTCGAGCTAGGTGGGCGTGGTTTCAGCAACCTGCTCCCGCCTTTTTGCCCATTTTTGATTATCCGGGAGTGACGTGCGGTGACACGCTGCCAAGATGGCGACGGCCGCCTCTGCCCACTTTGAGCTTCAAAAACCTCTTCAGGAACCTACGGGTGACGTCACGGACACTACGTCCATGTTTTTATACAGTCTATGAGTTGAAGGAGCGTCACTTTGTCCCCACTGGTCCACATACCCGCCCCCCCCGCATGGCTTCACTTGCTGGTGTCTCAGACCGCGTCTCTATATCCCCAGTCCTGCACACCTTCATGCTGGGGTCTCAGGCCTCTCACAGACTGACCAATGACTGCCTGGATTGTTCTGCCTGTCAGCCTGTCCGCTTTCTCCATCACAGGGATATGGATTGTGTAAGTGTTTATGTTAAATGGATAGTTCGAGCCAGAAGTTTTACATTAAATTTAATATAGCCCGTCTCTACTGTTTTTCTTTTACTATATACAGACAAGTCATGTACTTATTAACAAATAACCATCAAATATTTTGTTCACTAGTTACGCCATGGCAGTTGTGAACCACCATGTCTGTCCTGTTGAGAACTGGTAAGTTATCCCTATAAAGCCTACTGCATTATATTTGATACACAAATTTCTAGCCTTTAACTTCTCAATATAATTGAAAATTGCTGAGAAATGTGTTGTACACAATCCACTTAATGTCTTCTTTCATCTGATATTTTGTACCCATTTTAGCAAGTAAATAGCATTTTAAGTGTAATTTTAAATATATTCCCTTTTCAGGTCAGGGTACACGTCTTTTTGCTATAAAATCTGATTATTAAGTAAAAGTACGAGTAACTTTTACATTGTTAGTAGTATTTCAAGATGAACCTTTATTTTACTGAAGCATCTTAGGTTTACTTGATTATCCATACATTCAAACATACAAAAATCATGTTAAAATGTGCATATTAAATATGATACATTAGGCCGTTGAGGATTTGTACACCTCTCAGTCATCACTGTTTTGCATTGCATTATACGTTTTACCCTCACAGTAAAAACAACAGGGCTTTGATCATAAAAAGTAAGTAGTTAAATATCATTTTACTAAGACATATTATTGGAATTTATAAGGTGACAACTGATATTTAAATGCATTTTATGTTTTCTTTTTTTAATTGCAAGCTATCAGAATTTACTTTTTGGCCATATAAATATCAGAACCTGCACCAAAAAAACACCACTATTAAGTCATGCTTTACAGAGTTAAATCCCAAATCCAAAAAACCCACATACTGTTTAGACTGTTCTTTCATGCTTGATTCTTTGTATCATAGGTCATACAATTTGACATGTACAGAGGAAACGGCTAAGAGGGGCTTCCCAAAAACCTGCTGTACTCTTCAAGACATCCCCCTCATCAGGTGAGACTTACTTTGAATTTATCTGGAATACCACAAAATGACCACATTTGTGAGATGCCTCCTTTTAATAGTACTGTTTTGCACCAGCTTCTTGTGAAAAGGTTGCCCAATATCTGATTTTCTGATCTTTTAACAGTAAATGTGGATGCTATCCACCAGAGAGCTGTCTCTTCAGTTTGACTGGCAATGTTGGGGCTTTTATGGGTGAGAATTACAGTTTAAAATTTAATAAATAACCAAATAAATTTATATTCAAAATAAACTCCCCAAAGAAGTTGATTGCTTAGTCTGTCGTCTAAAGTTGTGTGATTTATGTCAATATTAAAATACGTCTATGTGCATGTGTTTGTGATGTATTCCTGCAGTGGTTATGGTGTGCATGCTGCGTTATGCTCAAGTGATTGAACACAGCCATCATTGCTGGACCAACACAAGTGCTTTGGTGTCCGGCTGCATTAATGCCCTGGGTTTGGTCATGGTGGGCAACTTTCAGGTGAACAGGCGAGAATGGACTTGTGCCTTCAGCCCATTATATAAATCTAAATTAACTTCTATTCCTCTCTCCCCCTCACAAATTTTTTTAGGTCGATCATGCCAAGACGCTTCATTATGTGGGAGCGGGTGTAGCTTTCCCTGCCGGCTTGCTGTTTGCGTGTCTGCAGTGCGTTCTGACGTACCGTATAGCAGAGACAGCGCTGGACTACTGGATGGCTCATGTGCGCGTGGCTCTCTCAGCTGGAGCTCTGGTTTCGCTTGTCCTCAGTATCCTTACCATGAGTGTTACTACACTTTATGTTTGACCTGAAGGAAGACATTGGAAATCAGTCATGATATGATGCATGAAAATCAAATTTAGATGGATACATTTGAACATGGCGCGAAAATCCTAAAAACACTTACGCACAGCATTGATTGGCTTATTGCTTTTCAGCAACAGTGGATGATAAAAGATACAATGTCCAGTAAATAAGCTTATTACTAGGGTTTTCACAGTACAAATATTTTAATAGTCTGTACCAATGCCAGTGAAATTAAACGAGTCGCAATACCAGTTTTGATACTACCGTACAGCAAAAACGAATGTGCAATTGAGCACATTGTATTATTTAAAAATAAAAATATTAATGTTAATGTAAACAAATAAAAAATAATGGCGTGTAGCCTTCAATTACAGTGGGGTTTTTAAAGTGTATATTTTAGTCTATATAAATGGAATAAAATGAAATAAATAGGAATTATAAGCAACAAGTCAAATGACAGTAAATAAACAGTGCTAGAAGTATTTCAGTGTTAGAAGTAATTTTCAAACAATCCATAAACAATAAAGAAACAAAATAAAACCAATACAAAAAAGAAAACATTAAACAGTGTTTGAAGTTTTTTTTTTTAATTATTTATTTCAGCAAAACAGTCCACAATAAGCAACATTAGAAAAAAAAATAAAAACAATACAACAAAGAAAAAAATAAGTTAACAGTGCTTGAGGTTTTTTTAAAGTATTTTTTTTACAAAAAAAGAAACAAATAGAACAGGCAATAGAACAATTTAAAACAAGAGAACAAAGAAAAACATTGATTGGCAAGTTTCAAGTATCTAATAGCAGTAGACATTGAGTAAAGTGAGAGAAACGTAAACAAAATACAAAAGTTGCTAAATCTAAAAAAAACAAAAAAAAAACCTGCAAATTTGTTGGTAACCCACACTCAGAATTTGTGCTCTGCATTTATCCCATTCAAGTGCACCCACACAGCATTGAGTAGTGAACACACACATTCAGTTGTGGGTAATGATGAAGGTGGAAGAAAGCGCTGGTCATTCACTCCCCCCACCTACATTTCCTACCGGTACTGAGACTCGAACCTGCAACCTTCGGGTTACAAGTCCGATTCTCTAACCACAGCCACAACTGTCCCAATACTACATTAACAGTGCAATACACTAGATTAATACACCAGATCAATTACAGCAAAAAAGAAAGAACATTTAAAGTACATCACAGTTAACAAAGATCATGGTAAATAATGTTATTAATGCTTAAGTTCATTGTGCCTATTCCTTAACATCCCGTTCAAGGTGGTATGTTCTTCATCCATGAAAGTTTTGTATTGCAGCATGCCGCAGCCATCTGTGAATGGGTCTTCACTGTCTTGGTCCTGGTGTACTACGGCACCTTCACCTATGAGTTTGGCACTGTCAACAGCGATACCATGATGGCGGCCTTAATGAAGCGCAGTCAACATCACCATCCAGGGTCAGCGGTCATCATGGGGGGTATCGGGAAGGGTGTGGCAATGGGATGTGGTGCCCGCAGTCTCAAGTCCCCCGGAGGCAGCAGCACTTCCACACACCTCAACTGTACACCAGAAAGCATCGCCATACTTTAGGGGTTAACCGCTACGATATTCTCTCAGACCTCAGCGCATAGACTCAGAACTCTTCATCGGGCTCACGAATTTGTGAAAAACTGGTACAAGCAATACGGAATTACTTGTGAGGTTACAGTACGTTTACAGACTTGCTGATTATAATCTTAACAGTAATGACCAGTTAGTCATAACTAAGGTATTTTGCTTGATATTTTGGGTTCATGTGTAAGATACAGCCCCAATAACCAGCACAGACAAGTCCTTCACATGATTCGTGGGGCCTCTGACAAATGTTTTAATTTTACTATGTTAAATCTGCAATAACCCATCTCATCAGGGATGATGTATTATGTAGGCCTGGAAACTCGGAGTTAGCATTTTAACACTTCTGGTTCCATCGTCCCAAATTAGTGGGTTTTTGGATAAATGCCTGAAATAAGATATGTGGTGAACACAAGCTCAAGATATTTAACGTTTTATGTTACAACATAAAATACATATGTAATACCCCCTTGTGATTATCGTTTTTTAAAGGGATAGTTCACCCAAAAATGAAAATTCTGTCATTAATTACTCACCCTTATGTCGTTCCAAACCCTCAAGACCTTCGCTCATCTTTGGAACACAAATTAAGATATTTTTGATGAATTCTGAGAGCTCTCTGACCCTCGTTCAGATCAAAGCATAAACAATGTAGACAACGTATCCACGTGGTGCTGCTGACACAGAACAGCATATGTTGTGATACTCTCCAAAATGGCGCCAGGGTGACGCGGAGGAGACGAATTGTTGAACAAAGTTGTTATTTTTTGTTTTCTTTGCACACAAAAAGTAATCGCGTAGCTTCGTAAAATTACGGTTGAACGCCTGATGTCACATGGATTATTTTAACCATGTCCTTACTACGTTTCTGGACCTTGATCGTGGTAGTATCCTTGCTGTCTATGGGAGGGTCAGAGAGCTCACGGGATGCATCAAAAATACCTTAATTTGTGTTCCGAAGATGAACGAAGGTCTTACAGGTTTAGAACGACATGAGGCTGAGTATTTAATGACAGAATTTTCATTTTTGGGTGAACTAGCCCTTTAAATTTTAAAGTTACTTGTTTTGAAAAAGGTTGCTAAAAAGTCGCTAAATGGGACTAAAGAGGTTGTCAGGAATGTTAAACGTCATCCCGCCAAACAGGAAAAGTCATCTACTCACTAGGTCGCTTTTACAGCTTCATTGTGTTAATAATCATTCTCTTGAAAATTATTCTTACTCAAACTTTCAGGGAAATTTTTTTTACATTTTTCTTCTGATTGCAGTAGGCTTTAGAATTTATAAAATGTGTGTTCATTTGTAAAGATTATCATGATGAACAAAACGTTTACCAATTCTAAGCTTTGCTGCTCACTGAGCTTATTTTCTTCAGTAATCCAAAAGCCAATGAAAAAAATCCTATTGAGTTTTTGTCGAGGAAACCAGGGTGATGCTAACTTCCAGGCTGGCCTAGAAAAATATGTCATCACTGCATTTCTCTATTGGTAGTCGGTGCTATATGCACTCATTTACATATAGTTGTAAAAAACGAATGTGATTTGTTGCAACACTCATGTTGACCTAAATCGCCAACTCCCATTGAAAATCAGTGACTTTGGTCACTTTGCCAGTGTGAATCTATTACAGAACTGCCAGCAATACCAAGACACTCGTCTAGACAAAGAAGATAATTGGCTAAACCCATCCAACCTTCCATAACCCGTTTAATCTGTAGAAACTGTGATTACACAACAGGTCAAGAGCCATCACTGTTGCAATGAGGATGTTAAGTCAGCTGCACCAGCCATTGCTGCCAATAGTTGGGTTACAATGAGGTTGAGGTTTAGTCACTTTACTTTGGTCAAATAGCAATACTTTTTATTCATACCTGAGATGTAGGTGGTCCATGTTTATGTATTCATTCCAGGTGCTCACTTAGTTTGATCTGTGGCACTGTATTGGCATCAGGTGCTGTGGACCTTCTGTCCTATAGCTCTACATACAAAAAGTGGCTGTATTAAATAAGATTTAAGAGCATCTCTGTGCAAACTTTTGAACATTGTGGTGCTTTTGCCAAGTTTTTTCGTCACTTTCGTCAAAAACTGCCTGTATCGATCAGTTGCATCCCAGGTACCTTGCGCACAAATTCCTAATATTTTAGGATCACGGGACAAGATTTTTTGTCAGTTATTTTATTGTTTTGTTTTCAGCACAGTCGTTTTTCATTTATTTTTCACATTTATAAATATAAGGTGATATTAATCAGACTTTTTCAGGAGATTAATCTTGCTCTTGATCCCTGTTGTAGAAACTATGTGTGTGATTAATTGAAAAAGCAAATAAGCTGTCCGTACTTGGGTTTCTTATTTTCCTTTGCTCGTATTGTACCTATGAGCAGTGACAAAGGGTGAAAAAATTTAGTTAATATCTTTTGTGTTTACTTGCAAAATTCTTGCATTTCCCCAAGAAACTATAATATGAGAAGGGAAGGAAAATTATATTTCGAAGCTTTTGCAAATACAAAGTTTATCAAAAGTACAAAGTATCTCTTAGGGGAACACAAAAGTTTTGCAAGTGAATGTATTGTGTTCACGTAAAAAATGTGCATTTGCTTGCAAAACATTTGCATTGTCTCTTTTGTGTTTTCACTCGAGAAACTGGTGATGGTGAAAAAAACTATATTTTCAGTGCTTTTGCAAGCAAATGCAAAGTTTTGTGAGCGAACACAAAAACATTTTTATATATATTTATTTTTTTGTTTCCC